TTCATTGTGGTGCTGGAAAAATTGTAGCCTAATGCTAATAAGTAATCCAATAAAAATTTTGGAAGAACTTTCTCAAACCCAGTGAATAAAACTTTATTGTATTGTAACCGAATATTTATGGGAAAAACTTTATTATTGTGTAGTTGAGAGTCTCAACTACAACAACTCAACTTGAGACATTTTAAGAGTAGTTCTAAGAAGGCTTAGTATGAGATGCAAATTTTTTCTTAGAAAGTTCATTATTTGCAAGTCAAATGCATAATTTTGGTTTTGCACAATTTTACGCTGATATAAAGTTTTGGCCGTATTTAAAAATGAATAAATGTCGTGTTACTCTTATTTACCTGTTTATTTTATTAAACGATAAATCCTATTTATTCAATTCAAACTTAAATATTAGTTAGAGAGTCCTTTAACATAAAGTAATCTAACGAAATATGGAAATATTGATAAAAAAACCTCCAGATACTTACAGAAGTGGTCCATTAATTTATACTTTAGTATTCATGGGATGTCAAACGAACGCAGATTAGTTGTAACCAGACATTGAGTAACCGGCCCTTAGGGCCGACCTGTTGCACCATTGAGTATATCGAACTCATGTGTTACGATTGGCCCAACGGATGTGATTTGCCAATATTATTATGCGTTAAAGCCTCATTCGAAGAAACCAGGGTTGAGTTGTGCAGTGGTAGATCTCAATTCACCACCTGTCGAAATACCCTAAAAGCCAGTTTCATGAAAGCAATTTAATGAAAGTTTATTTTTTGAATGAATTTAGGGCCGGTTGCTCAATGTCTGGTTAACACTAATCTGCGGTTAAACATCGTTATCGACGTTTTCGTCTCCATGCATATAAACGGACGTCGATAACTATGTTTAGCCGAAGGTTAGTGTTAACCAGATATTGAGTAACCGGCCCTTAATATAGAACCTGACAGAAAAAAATCTTTCTGTTGAACAAGGATACGCATTCATTTTGAAATTGCCACTAACTATAAGATAAAGTTTCTAGGGCTCATTCACTATAGATCCGGCTCATTGTTGCCACCAGGGAACTTCTCATGGACATAACACTTTCGTTCGGTTATTTAAGGCGGCAAACGACCACCAAACCATATTGTTAGCTGATGAATGTGCAGTACAAATCGTAAATGTGGATTGTTGGAGAAACTGTTGGACCAAAATGTTTAAATTAAAAATCGAATTTTGGGCGAGACGAAGTTCGCCGGGTCTGCAAGTACAATATACTTCAGAAATTGTGTGATCCAAACCAATTTAAAATATATTAAAACTATAAACAGCTCTATGATTTTGTTCTCAGAGATCGTGCCAGCTGAGTATTCAGATTTTCTTTCACAAGTAAACCCAGCTTTCCGAGCGTGTGTTTAGCAGGGTTCGTATTTGCACACACATGCGCAGCACATCCTAATATTTTACGCTCACACACGTGTGCTGTGCATATGAAAAATTAAAAGCTTGCTCACATCACATGTGTGTGCCGTTTGGTAAAAAGCACGTGCACATGTGTGTACCTTATTAACCGACTTCCAAAAAAGGAGGAGGTTATCAGTTCGTCGGAATATTTTTATTTTTTTTTTTTTTATGTATGTTACCGCATAACTTTGGACCACGTCAACCGATTTCTTTTGCATCGGAAAGGTAGTGTCTCAGAGGTGGTCCCATACTAATCTGGTTGAGATCCGATCAGTGGATCATGAGATATATATATATATATATATATTTTTATATGGGAGTTGAAGTCGGTTTTTTTTTTGCTAAAAATTACTAGTTGTTAGTAATTTTACGCGTTCTTTTGCCACCTTGTCTGACTGAGAGCGCGACAAAAATGTGCTGAACACTCTTTGTTCGAATCAAATCGATTTTGATTTTCTGTTCGAACGACTTGAGGATTCGGGTTGCCGCGTTCTCATTTATATGCGTTTGCAGCGAATTGCATGTGTTATTTGCCCCCAAAATCGTATGTAGGCAACAATATCATCAGCTGTTTGCTACAGCCGTACTTCAGCACCCTCCCCGCAAAAATGTTTTGAGAGCAAATAAAAAGTTGTCTGGACACGAACGGTGAACGCGCCTTAACTCAAATCTTAAATTAATTGTTTAAAACATACAGTGCCGAACAGAAATATTGGCACAGTGAATTTTTCGCAATATATGCAAAGTTTTTTATTCTAATTTATTTTCGATAATTTTTTATAAAAATATTGTTCATTCTACACCAGAAAACATAATAATAAAATATCTAAACTTTGTGCAAACCTCAGGAAAATTCACTAAATTTGCACACTAAATTGCAACTTTTTATTCAGATTAAAAAAAAAATTCTAAGTATGCAGTTTTATAGCCCATACAAATAATATAACAAAAAGCAAGTTTGAAGTCGCTAGAAAATCGCATTGATTTTTGGTAATTTTTTTTCACGCAAGTTCTTCCATACAAAGTAATTCGACAATTATTTTTTGTATTTTGAATTTTCCCGAGTTTTACACAAAGTTTAGAGATTTTATTATTACGTTTTCTGGTGTAAAATTAACTATATTTTTATAAAAAATTATTGAAAATAAATTAGAATAAAAAACTTTGCATATATTGCGAAAAATTCAGTGTGCCAATACTTTTGTTTATCAGTGAATGTTTTCTGTCATATAAAAAAAACAACATATCACTTTTTATTGAATTGTCTTTCCAAAAATAACGTTTTATAAAAAAATTCTTTTAAAAATATATTATGTGCATGTGCATGGGCAGAAATTTGTACAAAAATCGGCACACACACATGTGCATGCGCTTAATAACAAACAGCACACACACTTTTCTGTGAGCAGAGTTTGTTTACCACTTATGCACACATGTGTATGAGCAGTGAGTGCAAGTTGAATGTGTTTCTGGCGTGTGTGTGAGCAGAGCATGTGTATGCAAATACGAACCCTGGTGTTTAGTACTCACCATGAACGAAAGACACAAGATCACGTAAGAACAAGAGAGTGAAAAAAGTAGATTTTTTTTTTAGCGGGTTCTACGCCATCTTGTTTCACTGGAAAACGAGCGAAAAGTAAACAAAGCAAAGAAAACAACGAAAACCTAAATTAGCCAAAATTATTGTCAGCCACTGTAAGCGCACAATTTAGGTAAAATGATGCAATAAAATGCTTAAAAATGTGTTGTCATGTTGAATTAACTTTTCTTTACTTAAATAAAAGTGTAAAATAGTGGTGCTTGTGATGTAAACAAACGCTCAGCTGACGAACCCGCTTTCGCAAACTTTTTTCTCAAAACCAGTTACAAATACAACGTCGCGTTCTTACGTGATCTTGTATTTTTGGTTCATGAGTACTCACGACGTTAGAACTGCATAAAATTAACAAAAATTGTTTAAAATTAGTGTCTAGCCGCCAAAAAGTAAGAAAACAAATGCAAAATCATACATTTTTCACAATTTTCTAACATTTCGCTACACCATCGAAAGCAAAATTGTGTTCGACAGAAAATTCGATACTCAACGAAAATTTCGACACGGTTGCATAGCTCATAATACGAGTTTCACTTTCGATCTTCGATAACCAGCGAAGATCGAACATCGAATGCAACTCATAATAAGGGCCAATATTGAAATTGGATTTCATTTGGGTTAACGAAAATGACAACTGTGAAAAAATATCTACCAATACATTCAAACAAATTTTCAAATAAGCATATGTACATTTTTTGTTTTGTCTATCAGGATTACTGTATACTCTGTATTAAAGGATTCATATTTCCTATTGAGGGCCCGTTTTTCAGTGCCAGTTTAAACTCAGTTTAAGTAAACTGTGTTTAAATTGAACAGCTTAGTTTAAACCAGCCAGATGGGGCGTTTGAACTGAGTTTAAACCGCGGGCGTCCACTGAAAAACTGGCCCTGATTGACATAAAAAATTTTGAAATCGGAACTTTCGTTTTCGAGATATTTGGATTTAAAAAAATTTTGAGTTTGACTTTTGACCCTTGATAACTGCCGTTATGCCGTTATAATTGCTTTTAAAACCTCTATCGACGTCCTTGTTCAAAATTCGTCGCCCCAGTTATCGTAATCGTGCCGGAATCGGAAATAATTTCCGATTGCCAGAGTGCAGAACACCAACACTCACTGGCGTCCCTAAATTGGAGCGCTAAGCGTTGCGTTTTCCATTGTCAACGAGGGTCAGCGCGCGTTATCCCTAAATCAACGCGGCGTAATTTTGACGTTTTCTCATTTCCTCTCGTTTTTGTTATCGTTTGCTCTTTAACTTTTTGTCCTTTCTCTTGCTTTCCATCTTCTGCATCCAACTTCAATACGTAACGCTCTGTCAAAAATGAAAATTCCATTTGCTCGGCGCTAGCACCGCGTTATTGTGGGATGCTCCATACAAATTGTACGCGCATGAGGATTTTTGACAGTTTGGTGCTTGACGCGCCAATTTAGGGACGGCAGTCAGAAACAAACCCGATTCCGATTCGAATCGGATTGCAGAACATACGAGTTCCAGCTTAATTCTCTCAATTTCCCGTTCTTCCTCTTCCTGATAATTATAGCTGATGCCAGATAAAACTTTGTTGCGACTTTTATAACTTTGCCAGTAAGGCGCCAGGCGCAAAAGGCATGCCACAATGAACGCCAAGAAAACAATTTTTTACTGCTTTTTTACTCGTCAAAATTACTGAGGATTTTATATATTTTGCTTTAAAAATATCAGCAATGTAATTAGGTTTTATATTTCTACGTAAAATCTCGAAACAATATAAATATTAAACCGGCCGATTGTCAAAGCGCGCAAAAAGATGGTAGTTGGTCACCTTTTCGCTTCGCGCTGCAGCTTCAACGATCTATGTGGCATGCTTCGTGCATTTTCATACAATTCATCTTATCTGCCAACGCGAATCCGTCACGTAAAGCGAAGCAAAAGTTTTATGTAGCATCACCTTTTCTGGTAGAAAAGTAAAGAAACAAAGGTGCTATCGAGAATTAAGCTATCGATAGTTTAGCAACATTAAACAGCTGATTTACTCGTAGTTTGTCTGTAATACTTTTTAATAAAAATACATATATCGACTGTTCAAATAACGATGTCAAAATTACTGTCCATGAATTTAAGATCAGGTGAAGCTGCGCGTATATTTGCACGTTTGAAAACAAATCCACCAACATGCAATAATTTAGTGCAAAATAATTTGGAGCAACGACAACAGTTCCACCTTACGCCATGCTGTAGTGAAATACGTAAATTAGCACGATTACGTGTTGTAGACAACAGTGAAATAGGTAAACGTGCCATGGCAGAGGGCAAACCACCACGCTGCATTCATGTTTACAACAAACGTTCTGTGGGCTATATTGGAGATAAGGTGCTTGTTGCTATCAAAGGGCAAATGAAGAAAGGAATTCTAGTTGGATTGAAACAGAATCAGAAGCCTAAAATTCCAAAGTTTGA